GTGACCCTCAGATTGCCGGGCCGGTTCAAATAGAGATATGAAACTGTAACTTAAGTACGAAGACTCAAAGCGACCAGTGATGTTAATTTCGGTTCTGGTGTATCCAGTAAGTCTAAAATTGCTTGTGTTTGGCTATAATACTGAAACAGATTTTGTGTCTATCGTAACTGTAGTAATGACATTTACTAATTAGTAGCTAATAATCACTTCAAATGTTCTAAAACCCATGTTGAATTTATGCAGGTAGTGTAATGGCTATTTATAATGGCTATTTTGCGAAATAATGATCATTAAGTGGTGCAATTAATCTTCCACAACCATGTTCAGGCTAGATAGTATACGCATTTGTTTTCTTATAGCGTTCCCACATAATACCGGAAACCTGGATTCACCCAAATGATCAGCCACTTATCTCTGTGTGTGTTTGGTGTTTAACAATTTAAAGTTCCGACAGTTTGCACTTTCATCAAAAAACCCCAACGGAGATAAGCATGTGACATTATCAGAGAAACATACATTCGAGATCATAATAAGCAAAGTGAAGTTACCTAAAAGGATTATATCAGTAAATTAACAGCCCTGAACAAAATGTGGATAATGTCTTTCCATGGCTCTACCAGTTACAGAATTAACCGAAACATCGATTCATTCTCATAAAAGCACACATGAATCGTGAATCATGCCAATAAAAGCACACATGAATCGTGAATCATGCCAATAAAAGCACACATGAATCGTGAATCATGCCAATAACTACAGATATATAGTATTTTTTATCATTGCATTGAGGTGTAATTTTTCAGATTGCATTGAATAATAGCCTTGTTTATAATATTGGTTGGAGACGGCTTGTTTATAATATTCTCAGATTTCTAACGTTAAAATAATTATTAACTCGTTTGTATTAAATATTGATTAAATAAAATATCTTAAACAAAAACTTTAAGTCATGTATGTCTGGACACAAAATCTTACTTCATTTTGATAAATTTCGTAGAGTTTCAAATATTTTCTTTCATTTGTGACTGCAAACATGAAATATCAAAGTCAGAGTAATACATGATAAAACTTTGTGCTATACATCTTTTCGAACACAAGAATTTTCTTCTTTTCAGGAGACTTCTCTCTGCAGATTGTAAATGCTCAATTAGATGACGACGCTGAATTTCAATGTCAAGTTGGAGCTGCTGAAGGAGTTAAAGGAATTAGATCCAAAACTGCCACAATTACAGTCACAGGTGCGTGCATGCTTTTATTTATTTTGCTTTATAAAAAGGCACGTGTGTTAGTTAAATATTGTTTGTAAATGTTCCGCAAGATATCAAACATAAAACAGTTTTAACTTTAGAAAAAAAGGCCTGAATCATACTATTTCTTACAAAGATAACATCCAATATAAATATTCTGTGAAACTAAAATAAAGGCTAAGCTGGATTCAAACTCAATAACCTGTCCACTAGAGAGATGATCTAACCAACTAAATTCGCTACATGCTACGTTTACATTCAAGTCAGTGACTCTGCTTGGTGGACACATGTTCAACCAGGTAAATAACAAGTTCTCAACTTAACTTTTAATATTTACAAATAAATGATTGTGCAAGTAAAAAATCGTTGATTTTCGTTTTATTATTCTATTTAACATTTCTGCACAAGAACTGTCTGTTTTACGTATTGAAGCATTTTATCGCCTAACAGGTTCATACATTCGAATCCTTCTTTCCTCAGTTTTCGCTTAACCCACAAAACGTAGAAAAGTCTAGGATCACAAAACAGTGACCCAGCCTTGAAAAAATATTTACAATTAATAACACAACTATAAGGTATTTGACAAAGATTTACTTTAATGTTCACGACATCTTTTTTTTTTCAAACTTGTATTATCCAACTGCTATTTTTACTCAAGTCTTCATTAACTTAACTTGCGGCACTCCGAATTTTTTCTCTAAATCTTAAGTAATCTATTAAACCTTTTAAAAAATGTTTGATCTAAAGGAAGAATTTTTAAGTTATAAACATTAAATATTAATTGTGCCTCGATACAGTAGTAATGTATATTCAGCATTATAACTTATCATTTTGCATTTTAATCTAATTTTTCTCGAAACGAGTATTTTTATAGCTAACTCAGGCGTAAACGAATATATATATATATATATATAGATAGATAGATAGATAGAAAAAGAGAGAGAGTTAAGTACTTTTATATTAAAACAAACTTGTAGCCTGACCACGTCATTGCAATATATTTCGCCTCATCCAGTCTAGCTCTATCTGGAGATCTTGCATATTGACAATAGCCCTGAAATATATTTTGCAATGCAAAAAGCTCCCTCGTAACGTTGTCACGTCTAAGGCTCACCCCTTTTCCTCTTGGGGTTTACTCTAATGTATCTAGTGTATGAGAACGATGGTTCCGAACGCCCGTTTCAACAGTCCGATCACACAGAAAACGATGTATCTGGTGACTTGACTTGTATGTCTTTGCATGGAATAACATGAATACCCGTTTCAACAGTCCGATCACACAGAAAACTATAGCATCTGGTGACTTGACTTGTATGTCTTTGCATGGAATAACATGAATACCCGTTTCATTCTTTAGCTGTTTAAGATATCTGATGGATGGTTCAACAAATATGTCGTAGAAGTAACTTCTGTGCTTTACCAGACTGAAATCCATTCTATTATGTTGCATATTGTTACCAGGGGAACGTCGACGGATTTTGCCACTGATCTTTCTGTTCCTGGATTCTTGTTACAAGACGCTGCACTTTGCTTACGGCTGGGGTTCATCTCCTTCTGGATGTTTTTGGTGCCTGAAGCTGATCGTATTTCTTTGTTTGTCAATGCCATTATGTACAAGGGATATCTCATTTTTTATGTTTTAAATCTGTGTGAACACATTTTATATGATCTCAGTGTATGGATATTTTGTGTGGGAAAGTGACGTTTCATTCCGTTCTCAAAAGTGGCCAATTTTCGATGGTATCACACTACCTAAAACACATCAAACAACGCTAAAATATATAGTTCCACCACGACTTGACTTTGTTTTTCCTTGTTTTGTGACTTGATGATTTACATATTCAAAATATTCAGGTCTCTATAATATAGTATGCAGAATGATATATTAACGGTAATTAACAAATTTGGTTTTCTTCTAGGTGAAACGTCTCTCGTTACTTCCTTTGATACATAATTTAGGAATGTGTATAAATAATCACTTTGGTTTTTTGAAATTCAAAACAGGAATTGTAAAATAATTATAAACACAAACCTAATGAACTTCATCTAGGCCTAAAACGTATGAAAATAAGATCGTTGTTAAGTGAATTACATCTACCTCTTTGATTATTTTTACAACTAATTTTCATGCATTATATCATTTTACATCATTGATATAATATTGAATTGAATTATTATTATTAGATCATATAATAAGAGTTTAGAGTGTCATTCTTTTCAAAATTTCAAAACAACTGGTTTTGTTTTATCAAAATATTTGGATCAGTCATACTTTCCTTCAATTATGCTGTAAAGTGTTATTAAAATGCTTCACGTAAGTAGCAACTCTGTTATCAAATGATGCTATAACTCGGACCATATGTTACTGTGTTTACTCATATAACACTGAAATTAATCTACTAATGTTATTTTGTTTATATCCTTTTCATAAAGTATCACGAATATGTTCTCTTACTGATATGTATGGTCAAGAGCAATATCTTCGTAATATGTTTTCCAAAAGGATATAAGCAAAGTAGCTTTAATAAATTGTTAAACATTTTCGATATTTCGCCCAAAGTTATTACCTTAAATTTCGAACAAGGGCTATCTATGCATATCTAGTCCAGATTTGAAGCTCATAAACAAAATGGAAGGCAGCTAGTTGGCAGTTTTCCCAACAACTATTCTATGATCGAGTAATTTGATTTTACGGTCATTCCTATGGCACACTCATGACGGATAGTATATTAGCTGCAAAGAGGCATGAAACACGAACTTTCAAATGTTCATTCCGGGCAAATAAACACTTAGCCACGCTCAGCTCTACTTCATATACAAGAAAAACTTAAAGCTCTAAATACACGAATGATCTTTATTAAACTAATATTTCAAGAACGTTCCACACTCCTTTCTTCAAAAAGAGCATTTTATTAAGAGTTATAAAACACAATTAAATACTTTTAATTAATAAATAGTACTTCTTCATTTGGCCTTCTTACCCCTCTGTGACTCAGCGGTAAGTCTGAGATATCATAGCTCTAAAATTCAGGCTTCGATACCCACGGTGGCAGTACACAGATAACCCATTGTGTGTTCTTACACTTAACAAAACAAATAATTACTAACTTCATGTACACTTACATTACATAAGACGGAAAGTCATTCATGCCTAGGATATCAGATAATTTTCTTAATAACATTTCCCATAAGCGATATTAAAAACCAAACAGTGATGTATTGGTTATGACCATTAGATTTATTTACAATCGTTTTATTTGTTAAAACACAGAAGATAAGAGTCATACAAAATACGTTATTTCTAAAGTAAGCATCCATAAAAGTATTATTATCTGCTCATGAATTAGCTACTTAAGTTTTGTTGCTTTAGCCTTTTACCTGAATATAATAAAACACTTTTTATTAAACCTTGAAAGTGATTTTTATTTTCTTTCGACATAATTTGGCGTAGCCTAATTGTTAGCTAAAATTATTCTGGTTTTCTGAAACGCAACTATACTTTTGATAGGGTTAAACACTTAAAGATGATAGGAATTTATAAGAAAGATCTCCAGGTAATCACAGAGATGTATTTGGAACAAACAGCAGCAGTAAGATCAGAATAGGGTGTAACACCAGAGTTTAAGATCAAGAGAGGCGTAAGACAAGGATAATATTTAGCGAAATAGAACATATAAAGGGAGTAGTGATCGGTGGAATTAACTTCAACAACCTAAGATATGCAGATGAAACAGCACTACTAACTCCAAGTGTATCAGATCTACAAGAGTTAGTAAACGAAATAAATGAAAAAGGAAAATACTATGGAATGGAGATGAATACTTAAAAAGACCAAAATCAATGGTAGTAACTAAGAACCAAGATGTACCTAAATTCACTCTAACTACAGAGAGAACATCAATTGAACAAATCAAAAATCTTATATATTTAGGATACATGAGCACTGAAAATGGTAAGAGCGAAGTTGAAATTCAAAGAAAAATAGAGATAGCCAGGAGTGCATTTAACAAAATATCAAAAAATATTACCATAACAACATGGATAAGACTAGACAAATGTTATGTGTGGTCAACCCTACTATATGGTGCTGAAATGTGGACAATATCTAAAGCGACTGCTAAAAAGACTGAGGCATTTGAAATGTGGATCTATAGGAGAGTACTGAAAATATATTTAATTAAGACAAAAATAAAACTGCTTTAATACATTTGTACCTGAATTTTTAAATATTTTCCTGTGAAATTTCACTTCTCTTAATAATACTATTTTATAGCTTCAATTCCTGGATCATAAACAAATCACTGATTTTTATAGTTTGAAAATCGTTATTATTCGAACATTAGTAATTTCCTTGTACTATTTATCAATTTTGCCGTCGTTTCCTGCGGCCCCCTGGTGAAACAGCGGTAAGTCTAAGGACTTATAGAGCTAAAATCCGGGGCTCGATTGTTCACGGTGGACACAACAACTAACCCAATGTAGCTTTGTTCTAAAACAACCAACTAACCAACTGTTTGATGTGAACTTCATTATCATACAATTTAACTTCTCGTAGATAATTCTATATAATTCAAATGACTCATTTATCTCAATAAATAGAAATATTGGCTTTAAGATTTTCTGTAGAATTAAATAACTACAAATAGTATGAGCGTAAATTATTATACAATGCGTTAAATTCCGAATTTATTTTTTTTATGTGTGAATTACTGTTTGATTAGTTACTTAAATCAGGTTTATCTGATTTCATGAAACGTAAATGATACGAAGTGTAATAAACAAAAATAATTGAGTATCCCCTGAATGCAACCTCACAATTAATCAATTTATCCCTTGCGATTTTCCTTTTTAAAGATTTTTCCTATTATTTCCGGATCATTACTTTTCATGCATCACTTGGTTCATTTTCTAAATACATGGGAAAATAGATCTCATCGAAGCTCTTGATTTTGTTGTAGAGAGTAATTTGTTCATTACAGAGAAAGAAGAAT